AGAGGTGTCAGTTCTTCTTCAGTCTTCCTTTTTCATTGTCCAGCTTTCGTATGCATATGAGGCAATTGAAAATATCATGGCTTGGGTCAGGTGCACCTTAGTCCCTAAAGTGACATCTTTGCTTTTCAATACTTTAAAGAGGTCCTTTGCAGCAGATTTGCCCAGTGCAATACGTCATTTGATTTCTTGACTGCTTCTTCCGTGGGCATTGATTGTGGATCCAAGTAAAATAAAATCCTTGACAACTTCAATACTTTCTCCATTTATTGTGATGTTGCTTATTGTTCCAGTTGTAAGGATTTTTATTTTCTTTATGTTGAGGTGCAATCCATACTGAAGGCTGTAGTCTTTGTTTGATCTTTATCAGTAAGTGCTTCAAGTCCTCTTCACTTTCAGCAAGCAAGATTGTGTCATTTGCATATCGTATGTTGTTAATGAGTCTTCTCCCAGTCTTGATGCTACTTTCTTTTTCTTACAGTCCAGCTTCTCGGATTATTTGCTCAGTATACAGATTGAATAAGTATGGCTAAAAGGATACAACCCTGACACATGCCTTTCCTGATTTTAAACCATACAGCATCGCCTTGTTCTGTTCAAATTACTGCCTCGTGGTCTATGTACAGATTTCCTCATGAGCACAATTAAGTGTTCTGGAATTCCCATTCTCACAATGTTATCGATGATTTGTTAAAATCCACACAGTTGAATACATTTGTGTAGTCGATAAAACACAGGTAAACATCTTTCTAGTATTCTCTGCTTTCAGCCAAGATGCATCTGACATCAGCAGTGATATCCCTTGTTCTATGTCCTCTTCTGAATCTGGCTTGAACTTCTGGCAGTTCCCAGTCAAAGTACTGCTGCAACCACTCTTGAATGATCTTCAGCAAAATTTTACTTGTGTGTGATATTGATTGTTGTTCGGTAATTTCCACATTATGTTGGATCACCTTTCTTTGGAGTGGGCCCCAATATGGATCTTTTCAGTTGGTTGGCCTGGTAGTTGTCTTCCAGATTTCTTGGCATAGACTACTAAGTGCTTCCAGCATTGCATCTGTTTGTTGAAAAGTCTCAATTGGTATTCTGTCAATTCTTGGAGCCTTGTTTTTCACCAGTGCCTTCAGTGCAGCTTGGACTTCTTCCTTTAGTACCATTGGTTCTTGATAATATGCCGCCTCTCCTGAAATGGTTGAATGTCCACCAGTTCTTTTTGGCACAGTGACTGTATTCCATCTTCTTTTGATGCTTCCTGTGTTGTTCAATATTTTGCCCATATAATCCTTCAGAATTGCAACTCGAGGCTTGAATTTTTTCTTCAGTTCTTTCAGCTTGAGAAATGCCTAGTGTGTTCTTCCCTTTTGTTTTTCTAACTGTAGTTCTTTGCACATTTCATTGTAAAACTTTATTTTGTATTCTTGAGCCATCCTTTGAAATCTTCTATTTAGCTCTTTTCATCATTTCTTCCGTTCACTTTAGCTACTCTGTGTTCAAGAGCAAGTTTCGCAGTCTCTTCTGACATCCTTTTGTGGTTACAGAAGTAATAAAATCAACAAAAATCCCTGCAACTATGGAGTTTACCTTGTCGTTGGGGGAGGCAGATACTATTCCAAGAAAGTAGAGAATATAAGACGACGATACGAGTTCTAGAGAAGAAGGCAGCTAGGGCGTGCTGGTAGTGGGAGTTAGGATCCATAGGTTGCAATTTTAAGTAAGGTACTTGGGAAAGCTCCACGGAGAAAGTGACATTTGAGCATCACAGATTCACTTGACGAAGGATAAATGACTTAAGCTCCCATTCCAGAAGAGAGTTTGATTCCAGTTGCTGCTTTCTTTTCATTGTTCATTGACTCTTCTTACAGGGCAAGGCCAATCTTTCTAGCAGTTTCCCTGTGCCTTTGTTCTATCTAGTTTTCTCTGCTTTGGATATCTTTGAGTAAAGATTTGGCTATATTAAATAGGTTTCCTGAAAAGTAAGGTCTGTTCTATGTAGAATCTTAGGTAAATTGGTACCTAAGATATTCTGATGAAATAATCGGTTTATTAAAGTTCTTAAGGAAAGGCTAGACAGTATTTCTCATACCAAGTTAAGACTCAGTGAGTCATAAATCAATTCAGTGAGAAAAGCATTTACAAAAAGAAATAGAGAAAGAAATATCAGTGCATTAAACAATAGGGATAAATATTATTTCATGAAACTTGTTTCAGTTAAACATATTGTGAACTGGGTCAGTATAAAAATTTCTGTGTGTGCACGTCTGTGTCTTTATGGGTTGTAGTAAAAAAAAGTTTGAAGCTTCTGGGTTAGGATACACTGAACTATTCGTGTATCTTTAGATTTTTTTTTTGCCATGGATAATTAGTGCTGTTTCTCTTCCATTTTATTTTTTTGGAGAGCATCGAGGTATTGTTTAGCATGGGATATTTAGAATAAACTGTTATATCAAACAGACAGTGTAAAGGAATCATTTTATTTTATTTTTGTTTAATGTAGTGAAAAACTTGTAGGGATGAGATTTACATGTTTTTATGAATAAATATGATTTCATGATAATGTTAATTATTTATAGAATTTTTTTTTTTCTTATAGGAGTCACACCCCATGGGTTCATGTTGTAAAAGAGCTCCTTGACACAGAAGAAAATTGTGGAATGATGGTAAGTGATCCATCCACTTTGAACACTAACCTTCGTTTTTTTGGTCTGTTTCCTTTCCTTTCCTCCCTTCGTTACATCTTTCTTCATTTATTATCTTTTTAAAAATTTTTATTTGTTTTGTTGTTGAGAATATACACAGCAAAACATGCACCAATTCAACAGTTTCTACACGTACCGCTAAGTGACATTGATTACATTCTTCAAGTTCTGCAACCACTCTCACCCTCCTTTCCTTGGTTGTTCCTTCTCCATTTACATAAATTCCCTGCCATCTAAGGTTCCTATTTCTTTGAATTGCTGTTGTCAATTTGATCCCATACGTATAGTTCTTAAAAGAGCATAATGCTTAAGGCAGAACTTTTTTTTACTAATTAAGCTAAACTGTTGTTTGGTTTTAAGAAAACTTCAGGGGATATTTTTGGTTTAAGGTTTAAAGATTATCACAAGGCAGTAGTTTCAGGTGTTCAGCCAGACTCCATTTATCATGATACTGCTTATTGGTCCAGTTGTCAGGGTTTTTGTTTTCTTTATGTTGAGGTATAATTCATACGGAATGCTGTGGTCTTTGATCTTCACCAGTAAGTGCTTCAAGTCCTCTTCACTTTCACTCAGTTAGGTACCTATTATCTTTGGAGTTTGGTGTTTTTGGTAGGTGGGACTTTCTAAAGTGTGAGGCCCAGGGCGGGGGCCTCCCTCATTGGGATGTAAGGGCCACAGTGCATCTACTCATGTGTTTCTTCCCTATCCCATCTCCCCACCTCCTATTCCTATCCTAAATTTATGATTTTTCATATCTGTCATTTAAGATCATTTTCCTTCTTTCTGCCTGCTATATCCGTAGAATTTCCTGCAGTAATGGTCTTTTGGTCATAAATTTCGTTTTTGTTTGCCTCAAGGTGTCTTTTTTTTTTTCAAATTGTGTTTTAGGTGAAAGTTTACGGCACAAATTAGTTTTTCATTCAAAAATTTTATTAAAAAAAAGTGCATAAGCGTTTCAGTCTCCCTGCAACTACTCTAACATCTGTTAGTTTCCATTTTTTTGATTAGCGCCAGTAATGCTGGGTTGAGATAGTATCTCATTGTAGTTTTGATTTGCATTTCTCTAATGGCTACTGATCCTGAGTATTTCCTCATGTGTCTGTTTGCCACCTGAATGTCTTCTTTGGTGAAGTGTCTGTTCATATCCTTTGCCCGTTTTTTAATTGGATTATTTGTCTTTTTATTGTAGAGATGTTGGGTTTTCCTAGAGGTGTTAGATTTTCCTATAGATTTTAGAGATTAGAACTTTGTTGGATGTGTCATAGTCAAAAGTTTTTTCCAGTCTGTAGGTTCTCTTTTTTCTTTTGGTGAAGTCTTTTGATGAGCATAAATGTTTAATTTGTAGAAGATCCCATTTATCTAGCTTATCTTATGATGTTTGTGAATTGTTAATTATGATTTGTATCCTTATGTATATTTCTGGATTTGATTAGCAAATATATGCAGACAAAAATAGAAATATAGATAGGACTTTCACATTTTTGTTCTTGAAAGAGATTGAACTGTAACCTTCCTTTCTTGTGTTGTCCTTTTTAGGCTCTGATACCAGGTTTATTCAGGCCTCATAAAATGAGTTGTGATGTGTTCTTTCTTGTTTATCCTCGTTCGTTGTTGTTTGCTGTCGAGTTGGATCCAATTCAGGATGGCCTTATGTATAATAGAACAAAAAAGAAGAATGTTGACTGAGCCTTTTTCATGTGATTACTAGTACATTTGAGTTCATTTTTGTGGCTATAGTATCAATCCATCTCATTGAGTATTTCCCTCGTTTTTGCAGACCCTTTACCAGACATGATGTCCTTTTCTATCATTTGGTCTTTCCTGATGACATTCAAAGTAAATGAGCCAGTGTCTTGCTATCCTTGCTCTAAGAATCTGGTTGTATTTCTTCTAAGACTGGTTTTTGCGTTCTACTGGCAGTCCATGATATTTTCAGTATTCATCACTAGCACCACATTTCAAATGCTTCAATTCTTCTTATGTCTCATGGGTCATTAAAAAGACAGGAAAAGAGAAAAAGACCAAAATGAATGTCAGAAGAGACTCTGAAACTTGCTCTTAAGTGCAGAGTAGCTAAAGGGAACAGAAGAAATGAAGGAAAAGAGTGAACAGGAATTTCAGAGGGTAGCTTGAGAAGACAAGGCAAAGTATTAAGATGAAATGTGCAAGGACCTGGAGTTAGCAAGACCAAAGGGAAGGATATTTCTCAAGCTAAAAGAACCAAAGAGAAAATTCAAGCCTCGAGTTGCATTACTGAAGGATTCTATGGGCAAAAAATTGAATGACACAAAAAGCATCAAAAGAAGACGCAAGGAATACACAGTACCAAAAAGAGTTGGTCAACATTCAACCATTTTTATTTTTTAGAAGAATTAAATCTAATTTGCATTCTTAATTAGGAAAATTCACTTAACGAAACTCATTGGGCCTGGATTTTCTTCTGTGGTATTCATTTTTCTTTTGACAGATACTCAGTTTTTGGTTTCTTTTTATATCAAGATTTTCTAAGTTGTGTTTTTCAAGGAATTTGTCTTTTTCATCTAAATTTGAAAGTTCATTGATACAACATTATTTATAATATTCCTTTAACTTCTTAATGTCTGTAGGTTCTAGAATCTGTAGTGATATCTGTTTCCCCCCATGGTATTGGTTATTTTTGCTTCTCTCTTTTTTTCTTGCCACCAACCAGATTAGTTGCCATCATGTGGATTCCAACTCATGGTGACCTCATGTGTGGAGAGTAACATTGCACTCCATAGGGTTTTCAAGGCTGTGACCTTTTGGAAGCTGATGGCCAGGACTTTCTTCCGAGGGGCCCCTGGGTAGATTCAAACTGCCAACCGTTTAGTTAGTAGTTGAGTGCTTAGCTGATTGTACCATCCAGGCTCCTTTTCTTAACAATGTGTTTATAAATTTTATTGTTGTTGTTGTTAGGTGCTGTCAAGTTGGTTCCAACTCATAGCAACCGTATGTCCAACAGAATGAAACACTGCCTGGTCCTGCACCATCCTCACTGTCATTGTTATGTTTGAGCCCATTGCTGCAGCCACTGTGTCAGTCTATCTTGTTGAGGGTCTTCCTCTTTTTTGCTGACGCTCTACTTTACCAAGCATGATGTCTTTCTCCAGGGACTGGTCCCTCCTGATAACATGTCCAAAATATGTAAATAAATAAGTTTTATTAGTGTTTACAAATAACTCACCTTTGGTTTTATTGATTTTTCTCTATCATATGTTCGTCTTGTATTTTATTCACTTTTTTTCCCCCAGTTTATAATTTTTTTCTTCCTTTTTTGGATTTAATGTGTTACTCTTTTTGTAACCTTTAGCTATGTCCTAAAAGTATTGATACGTCATATTTTTATCATACATTTCAAAAGATTTTCTAATTTCCATTATAACTTCTTTGATCCATGAGTTATTTAAAAACACATTGCTTAATTTCCAAACATGGGGATGATTCTGGTTAGCTCTCTTTGTGCTTTTTATACTTGGAAATTTAGTATGATTGACAGTTTTGGAAAATTCTGTGTGCACTTGAAAAGAGTATGTATTCTGCCATTATTGAATGCTGAGTTTGCCAGTTATTTCAGACTTATTAATTATGTTGTTCAAATCTTCTGTACTGTTACCTTTTTTTTGGTTTACTTATTCTGCCAGCTTCTGAGAGAATGTGTTAAAATTTTTCACAATGATTGCAGTTATTCTTTATTTTTCCTTGTAGTTCTGTCGGTTTTTTGCTTTGTATATTATTAGATGCATACATATTTAGAATTGTTGTATTTTTCTGGTTGATGAACCTTTTATCACTATGAAGTATCACCATCTCTAGCAGTATTTCCTTTTTTTAAATTATACTTTAGGTGAAGGTTTACAGAACAAATAGTTTCTCGTTAAACAGTCAGTACACATATTGTTTTATGACATTGGTTAACAACCACACGACAT